TTCAATGATGAACGTCCTATATAGAATTGATAACGAATTAAGTAGGGGAATATTTTTCATCAAACGATTCTTATGAAAGGTGTCTGCATCACAGTTTTTATGGGAACAACAGAACATATGCTATTGAACAACATAAGTATTTGGAAAGAACTGACATCGACCGGTAGTATTAGCTAGACAGATCGATGTGATATAAACATGCGTTGGTCTATTCGTTCGATTGAGGCAACGCTAATGACTAAGAAGAAAGAGATCAGTCAGTTCAAACTAATCGAGTACTGGCTAGCTACTTGGGTGGTGAAATCGATCGTACTTATATGACCTTATTTGCTACTTATCAGTTAGGAGTACTTTCATCCGTTTGAGAAATAATCGGTTGCGTATTTTTACATAAAAGAAAAATGATGCTCTTATAACCCAAAACTAAATAATATTCAATAGTAATAAAAACCTGCAGAAATAATATTTCATTTTACAGTAAACAACTAAGGAAGCAAGTATGGCGGTCAACTTTGTTTAGACGTACGAATATCCTCATTCACTAAAATGGTTGAGATGTCTGTCTCCTGAGCAGTATTCACTTCACTCAAAGTCAAAATTTTAAGAAAATGATGTTTCGTAAGACTGTACATAAAAAGTAAAAGGAGCATTATAAGCTAGCCTATGAGTTTCCCAGCTGACTCAACTAAGCTTAGGCGTCTATGCTATTCTATTTAAAACACAAAAAAGGTATTATATGAGCAACAAGAGATGTGCCAAACAAAATTTTAACGGTGTCAGAGGAAAGGTATAATCTATGCAAATATGCATATAAGTAGCGTTCATTAATTTGAGAAAGAGAAGGAAAATGGAAACTGCAGCATTTTCAACTTTAATTTCTATTTTGTGTCATATCTGATAACAAATCTGGCAACTATATAGCATGATGACATGGTTGCGCTGTATCATTAACTGGCAGGAGTTGGAATTCATGGGCTATTGGGTCAGGTCCCAGTAGCCTAATGGTCTACAAGCTCGCCTAGTGACCAGAAGGTCCTGGGTTTGAGCCCCGGTGGATGCGTACTGATAAAGAGTCATAAACTAGTACGAAACACCTGTCCAGTACTCCCAGGTTTTCCAGTGAATGTCTAACTGATGTCAGCTGATGATAAAATCCTGTGGCCAATCATATCTCTGCAAACCAACACTTGAATCTCGGAACTCACTCAGGAAGCAGTGATACAATAACAAGCTGATGCAAAACAACTATCACGGCCAGATTACATCTCGGATTTCCCACCCAGTCTTACTGTTAGCAAACAGTGAATGGCATGTTAATCAGATGAATAATATTCATGACACGTTAAAGCTACCGGAGCCGGTATTCCACAATGACATCACTTATTAAAAGACGATCACCACCCTGACTTAATATGCGCTGTCAGATCTTGGGATTATTTATGCAATGACGCCCGTAGAAGCATTTCTAAGGAAGATGGATGGGCGGACGAGCAGATTAATCACACATCCTCAGTTCAGAGATATCAGCTTTCACAACCTTAGAGCAAGCGTGTGTGCAGCGAAGAGACCTTTGATGACCAGGCTAACATCATCAGGGATAGCTCAGGATGGTACCCTGGCTTTTAATATACGATTGAAAATTGCATCCATTTTACCTTCACCAATACTCAGACAACAACTTAAATATATGAACTTTTCTGCTAATTCCAAGGACTCAAATATAAGGGTTATTCCGAGTGGAAGCTCCTGCTACAGCAATTCGCACTTGGATTGTGCAAAACGCAAACCACTTAGACACTAATCACCAACTAATTAATTGATTAGTCTGCATGTCATCTCATGTGCGTCGGTGGCACAGTGGTTAGGACTCTCGCTGACCATGCACATGGTCCGGGGTTCGAGCCCTCGCCGACGCACACTTGATATCTATGGTCGGCCTGCGAAATTTGGGCTACCGATATCCACGCTGAAAACTCCATACTTCTACCAAAAGTACGGTGTGGGGGTCAAGCTGTAATCAAAAATAAAATAAAATAAAAAATGATCAGTCAGGCAGGATTAAGACTAACACACACATCTTAGAGAGTTGTCTATAAAATTTCGATGCTGAAAAAGCTTTTTAAAACGGCTAGATTGATCATGTATCTAACCCAACTGGTGGTTGAAGAAAAACTCATCCAATCTGAGGTGTTTTTGTAGAAACTTTTGAGGAAGTTGACAAACCCCAGCAACCTCTCAATCCTGTAGACGAGTTCAAAGAGCTTCCCTGTTCCAAATTCTCAATATAGAACTCCGCACCGAAGTTCAACAGTTCAAGTCGCCACCCTTATACCAAGAAATAAGTGTTGAATTGCATTAAGTGTATCAGTGTTGTAATAAATGACGAAGTGAACACGTGAACAACGCAGCCACAGCCTAAAAAAACCTGGCTTACTCACGGTGAATCCAATTCTCGAACATTTCACAGAACCTGCTGAGCATCACACAAGCCAGTATCTCAGATGCAACTTGCAACGGAATCATGTACTGGTGTTTAACACATGCACAATGATGACACTGATAAGAAACTGAATCTCCCATGCTTTCCGAAACAGTCCTCTCACACCTACGTTTCGCTAGGTGGACCAATTTCCAGCAACCATGTGATCAAGATTACTGAACATGCACAGGAGTCTAACTAAACAGCTATTCAGAGCGACCCGTGAAGCAATGCACATATCTTTGCACGCTGTTAAATGGTGTACCATATGCCGACATAAGCCACTTCAGATACCTAGGAAGAGCTAGAACAGATTCCGTTTCACTCGCATGTTCTGATCACTAAGCTTTGCAATACTCACCTAAGCAATACGTGTTTACACTTAAGAGCTGCAAAAGACTTTGGTGGCCACCTTTATTGAGTCTTGCAAGTGCAGCCGATGCTTGTGCATGCTTTCTGGAACTTTGATGGCTTGCATTCAGTCTGGCTCGTTTTTGGTATCGGGTGTAACTGACTTACCCTTGCCAACGTGTGCACATCAACCCCTACAACCACTACCTCGAGAAACTTGACGCATTAAACTACGATCAGAATCCAGACAGGAGCGCCAGAAGGAGTAAAGCACACCCACGCCTACTGATACTCAACTTGAATCAAAGTGGAGTGGAAGGATGCCAAGTAGAATTAGGGCAATGACTGTACCGAAAGTTGGGACTGATTAAAAATACGTTATCTGCTTAGTTACAGAAAAGGGTGCCCTACGATAATTTAGACGATTAATCTCTTAACCCAGACACCCAATCTGTGCTTTAAATTCCTCAGCTAGGACTACAACGTACATCAAGCCTTCTTGATTGATAGCGTAACTCTTTCTCACTTACACCGGGACTGCATTCCATCAGTGAGTAGGCAGAGTTGATGAAAAAACCACGAGAACATGAAGAAGACTATTTAAGCTGATGAATGGGTGGTGGGGGGGGGGAGTTACCCGAAGTAATTCACTGGATCTTGTATGCTGATGTCCAAGTTAAATTACACACGAATATCTATGCCGTACATGAATGCGAGGATGTACACGGCAAGCTTAAATGTGACATGTGTCAGAATAGATGCGCTAAATACTACATTAAAAACCAACCTTTTGAAATCAATCAGCATGCGAACCTATACATATACTGAGATTTCGAATAGAAAAATTCCTAGACGTTCACATGTGAGAATTACAATGACAATATGATAAAAACTAATGACTGAAAACATGATCAGTCAAGTGGCAGGTACGATAGGTTAAGAGCCTATCTCGATAAGTTTCCCACTGAATTGTAGTTGCGTGTTTCATATGATGGCTGAGATAACTGTCTCAAGTAACTACTAACTAATTAGCAGAGCAATGCTGGACGATTACCCGTAACCAGAACAGGTTCATATACTATTCGTCTCTTTTTGATCATGGAGCCCAATTGCAAAATAGATTTTAAAATCATAGCGACATAGGACAAGTGCCACACAATGCCATAAAACTAACTGCAGTGAACTATTACTTGGGTTATATATTTTAGGGAATCTTAATAGAGAAATAGGGAGTTCCTCAAATATTATAGACAAGAATATTGAAAACTATTCTGATGAAAGTTCAGACATTACTTTCAAAGGAAATATCACACAGATAAAATGCTGCCTACTATGTAAAACAACAAACCTTCAACTTCAGTCTTGTTAATAATTAGTGAGGTATTACAGTTAGTGCCTTAAAACACCTTATCGGCATAACACACGTGTCAATGGCTTTGACTGTGACGATTTGTGAGATGGTTAGTTATTTAACTCTCGAGTTACATCGTCTACACATTCCTCTTAAACGCAGTCAGCACCAACAACATCTGAACGAAAATCACTACAGTCTAATTTAAAGATTAATAACAGAATTCACGAAAAGTTGTTAATTGATTTAATTTAAAAATTCCTAGAACAAATATGTCATATTATACGTTTAGGTAGGTAGTATGAGAAATGTTTTACTCAAGGTCATTCAAGGAAAGTGAATACAATACAAAAAAGGAGACAAAACAAAAAAAAAGTTTGGTTCCTCTTTCCAATATAAAAAAAATTGTTAGTAGTATTTACAGACAAGACAGAGCAGAATGTAAGAAAGGAAAATCACCAATAAGGCACAAGTGAAATTATGTGTGCGTTTGTTTACAAGATACATACAAGATAAGAGACATAAAATTAATACAGTGACACTGAAATCCAGTCATTAAGGTATTAAAATTGCTTATAAACATGGAATGTCTGAATGTCTATGGGATAACGAAGCATGATATAAACAGGAGATAATGTAACGTAAACTGAAAATATATACGTCAAGAGAAGTAAGAAAAGAAGAATACATTAGATAACCAAATATACAAATATAAAGAATTGGCACTTTAACAACCTCCAAGGTTCAAATAAAAAAGGGAAAATTAAGACGTCAAGAAGTAAATATCATCCGTAAAACTTTAAAAAAGCTGAACAAATATATATATATATATATATATATATGAAGACTTGAAATAAGATAAACAATTAATTTCTAGTAAATAAATGCAGTATATCTATATTATCAAATAAATAAATCAGAAAACAAACAAATAAAGCTAGGTTGCAAAGTTATTTGTATAAAAAATTGGATAGAGAAGTAGATAGTAAATACCTTAAACAAAATTCTTCCCCTCCTCCCTAAATCAGCCTGACAAAACAAATGCAATTTAAGAAATAGTAAATAGGCCATAACTACTACCATGAGTGGAGTTATGACTGGTAGATGAAGAAGGACTGCTACTACTGGATGATTGCACAATAGATTGTTGTTGACGCCGACAAGAAGTTTCGGTACCAATAACTTGAGGACGTAATCGTGCATACGCTGATGGTTTTACAGATGTTGAAGTCAGTGTTGTATCCCACTTCCTCGGCTCTGTTAGAGAAGGATATGATGAAACAAGTTCATCGCGAACACTTAATGACCAACGTGCAGAAAAAGAATGACGGCTAAAGTTAGCTTGATCAGTGCAAAACATCAAGTCAATATCACTTTGCGATGGCGCACTACGACTAAGTTGACTTGAATCATTTTTATTAGAAGGATTAATACACCTAGGTGAAGAGAAATTCATTTTAAGTTTATCATTTTTTGATGAGCTCTTGGTGAAGGTGTCGTTGCTGTGTGGAAAATTAGTGGTTACATTGGATTTTAGGAAATCTGATAGAAAGCTTGAGCACCCAGTAGTGACATCTATGGACATAATATCTTGATGGTCCACATCAAAACTCACATCACATTTCTGCAGCTGTTCATACTCAAGTTTTGGTTCTTGGCATACGGGATTAGAAGGACTTAACTCTCGAACCCTAGATGGATCTGTGGTAGGAAGATTACTTGTTAAATGAAACGAACCACGAGGACGCAAAATACTGTGATAAACTGCATGATTTCCTTCAACGGAGACTGGTCTTGGAGTTGGTGGTGCACTTGCGTGAGAGGAAAGACGACGGTGGGCAAGTAAAGTTGGCCTTATAGTGGCCACTGTGGATGATGAACGACGGAGTCTAAGAATACTTGCAGAAGAAAATGCAGTCATTAACTTAACAGGATGTGGTGGTAAAACAGAAGAACATGGTTCAAATTTTAATGTTTGTAGGCTAGTTGAAGACGAAAGAAACGACCTAAACTTAAGCATTTGTTCAGTTGATTCGGGGCCCGGAAGTACACTACCAGGTGCATTGGACGACGGAGCACGAGAAACTGATAACAATGAACGATATTCCTCCAAAGGTGACGATATCTCCAGTTTCGACAGACCAGTGCAAGGGGATGGTAACAATGTACTTGGTGACCGCGTAGGAGATAATAATGCTGAAACTCTGCTACGTTTCCCTTCAGTAGGACTTATTCCAGATTCAGGGATAGGCCTGATTAGTCCGGCACAATGCAGAGAACTTTTTCTAACAGGTCTCTCCAAAAACCCTCCAAGGGATGATGAAACAGTTTCCAGGCCGAGATAAGTAGGCCTGTCTCTCTTCTTCGACAGTATTTTCGGAGATGTTGGAGTTAAACCTAATGAAAAAGGTGAAGAACATGAGCCAGATTTCGGTACATGCAAGGATGAAGATTCTGTTGGAACGTAAGAAACAGAAGAACACAGACTACTGGGACTGCCAAAAGTTGGTGTACTATCAATCGAAGCTTCACTACAACCGGAATCATGGAGATGATGCTCAAATTCCAACAGTTGACCGAGAAAATTAAAATTAGGTGCGACACTGTTTCGTCCAGATTTAACGACACTAGAAAAGAAAAAAATTCAGCTTTATGAGATAACTACAAAAGCTGCGTTTGAGAGAATAATTCTAATAAATGTAGTGAAAAATATCCAGCAGTTGTATGTCTTAGTACCAAATAATCTACATTATTTTTAACGAATGAAACAAAATTACCTGTCAGAAAACTAGTTCAGATTGGTTGACTAAGGCTGTAAGCTGCAAGCAAACAGGAAAAAATTTCCATAATGATAAATGGACAATATGTTAGAAGCATCAATTCTCCCACTAGGGATAAAAAAAGCACTCATACTCCGCTAAACACGGATGAAGTAAAGTACGCAATTGTCCAAACCCTAATGCACTCCACATAAAATGCTTTTGTTTGATTTTTATAAATATAAATATTCACACTAACAGAGGATATTTTACGCTTTGTCAACCGACATAGTTGATATTTATTGCTGCAATAATTTACATGCTGAACACAAAATCATTGTTTTTGTTCATGTTTAAACTTGCTGGATATCATATGTGCACATGTATACACTTTTATTCTACCTATTTTGGGTGTTATTGAGATTTTACTTTGGTTTCATTGTAGTACATCATTTATCACAGTGTCTAAATTCAAGATGCTTCATGATCACATTTTGAGTATGGGAAAACACACAGGCGACTAAACTTAGGCCCTCAACATCTGATAATAATATGTTGTTGTGACTTTAAAAGTGTACTAGATTAATCCTTGAATATGTCTCTAAAACAACAAGTGAGCTAAATTCGTCACGATGATATAAACTGATCGACTGTCTGAATGATTTCCTTTTAGACAATCTGCAATAATCTTAAATAACCTCAAGTTTCTTCTTTAACAACGATTTTACAATCTTAATTCTATAATCAAGTGATCCACTATCGTCCGAATAATAACTGACATCCTTAGTTAATTAGCCTAGATTATTGACAAATTATTTTTATCAATGTGACTCCCGTAAAGAACAAAAAGGAAATAGAGGCTTGCTGGAATACATGCGTGTGTGTCAGTGATCTTCAACATTCGGATAATTTTAATTATCCTCCTTCTCACTATATCTTCACTACATTGTAATAATAATTCTTGTCAGTTGAACTTCCAGTCCTATTGCTCTTTGGCGTTCTGGCTTTAAAGGGACTGAAATTATTGATTTGTCAATACACAAAGTCCAACTGCAGAATAAGTACACATAGCGTCAGTGATTTGGTAGGTGAAAATCACTCCATCCGACTGTTAAATCTGTCATTAAAACACACAAAAGAAAATCCGTAATGATTCTTTTTATGAGAACAGGATTTTCTATAGTTTAGTTTGCAAGGGTTAGTTTTGTTTTTACGAGTTGATCATGGATTGTTATCAGTTAGAGAACCATTGAAAACCAGGGAGTACTGGACAGCTGCTGTTTCATCCTAGTTTGGGAATCATTGGCAGTACGCACCCACTGGGGTTCGAACCCAGCACCTTTTGGTTACAAGGCAAGCTCGTAAGCCATTCAGCCACTGGGACCCAATTCATTATTTTGCGTATTACTACCCCTTTAATCCAGAATTGTTAACAATCATGTTAATACAATCAAATATGTAAACATTTAATGTCCAAAATGTTTCTTATCCTAGAAAAATTACATAGATGTAAATATACTATTGGATGCATTATATACAATATGATCATCTACATAACTTCTGCTCGAAATGTCATCAGTTAATATTACTGTATAACATTGTGTGATTTATCAGAATAAAATCTTATCTATGATGGGGTTAAAACGAATGTTTATTTGTCTATCACATAAACAGCACCAACAATTATATATATATATCGACAGACTCGATGCACAGAATTGCCTAATACTGAGCAGGTGAATACACACACAAATCTAGGAAGACTAGTGAATTCCAATGCAATTGCTGATCGGTAACGGCATTCGGTATTTACACAGATAGAGAATAGTTAAATATGCATATATCAACATACGTTACAATTAAATTTTACTACCAAATGAGCAATATGTAACTTACTCATATGCCTCACGCATTTTCATTCGACAGGAGTACATAAGATAAGCAATTGCTAGAGTAGGTGAACGAGATATTCCTGCTGAACAATGAATTAATACTCGTCCATGCGCTGTTTTAGCAGAGTCTAGAAGTAAACAAAAAACTTTTATATAAGCTCCTGATTCGACAACATGGCAAACAAATTTCTGAAAACGAAAACAGAAAAGAAAAACAACGCGAAATAATCTAATAAATATACTGGTATTGTTATGTGATAAGAAGTTCTGAAGTCAAGATGAATAGATTGATGACGAAAGTAATCTCAAGGGCATTAAACCTTTCCCGCAAGAGTAGTTAGTATTTACAAGCAGGGTGTGTATGTTCCGTTGTGTATAGTTGATAATGAAAACTCAAGAGGTTTACTTTATCTGGCAAAAAACGTTTGTCAAAATTAGTCGAGACCCATATATTATTATTATTACAATGTGCATGTAACAGTAGTAACCACATCTACTCATTGATGAAACTAATAACATATGAACCTACACCTACATATGCAACACTCATCAAACTTTACACAACTTTTAAACAACTATGTAACAACGACACGAAAATATAAAAAGTGCAGCGGATAACCTTGTTTTTTATATGTCATAATTGTACAACTAAATATAATTTACCTATGAATGCAAAAGCATCCTTGAAATAAGGCGTCATGAGGTCAGTGTAATTGTCATTCACAGGAATTTGATAAAAATTCTGCTTCAGGATATGCGATGGAATTCCTCCTTCAAGAGAAACATTAACGATATGGGTGATGCCATACTGTTTGCAAATGGTTGGAGAATTAGCATCTTCTCGACTGCCCAACACCAAATGTGGAAGAATTGGAGATGGACGAGGCGATGTACTCCCAGTACTATCAACTTTCACCTCTATTGCAGATCTTGTACGATTATCCACACTGGAATCAGAACTGAAATAACAGATACACAATGAATTTATTGATTCCCAATTCTGGAAGAATATTACTCGTATTCATATAAACATATAATTTATTAATTCCCTTTGTGACAAAATATTCAGCGAAGGCACTATTTTCAACGAAATATCTGGTGAGGAAATTTAAACATAAGTGTGGATACAAAGAATAATAATAGTATGAAATACAATTAAAATATGGGATTATAATCATAGTTAAATGTCAAGTGACAAAACAATTGTCATATGTAGGATAATTCATAAGGTGTACAGATGTTGGAGAGAGGTGTATAATTATAGGATTAGTAGGCTAACATAAAACGTTACATAACACGGTGATAAATTTGATGAGATAGAATTCAATACTGTAAAAAGTCTCATTATTGTAACTGAAAAGTAAAAATAAAAAATAAAATTGAAAGTGAACTGAGCAATCAACGTGCATCTTAATATGAGCTTTTTGATGTAGGTTATCGGCAACCTTATGTCTAAACTGTATGCATCAATACAGTTATATATGCAGCATACAATTTCCATGAGGCGCATATTGGTAAATATAGTAAAAATAATGAAAAAAATGGGGAAAGTCACATCATTATTATAAATTATTTACATTAATCCCAGCGTATTATTGATATAAGTATAAAACATGGGCACTGTGGTAGAGCATAACTCCATTATGGAAAAGATTTTATTTTGAGAAATCACACACAGTGTTGTACAGCTATGTTAACCGATGACGTTTCGAGCACAAATTATTGCTCATAATCATATCAAGTTACTCACATAAATTATTTCCTTCATTTATATAAAGCTGTAGAATCGATTAGATATTGGAATAAAATCAGTATGAGATAATGCACATTCAGAAATAATAATAATACGAGTGTTATTGACCAATTACAATTAGATGGGAAATAAGACGAATGTTTTTATAGTCATATTATCGAATTATTGCCACCAGTCAAATCAGAGGAGGATAATAAATAATCTTAAAATTCTATTTCGATTCAAACACATCACAACATTCCAACAAGTAACTTATTATCACTATAAAAACACTCGTAGTATTTCCCATCTAATTGTAATTGGTCAATAACACTCGTATTATTATTATTTCTGAATGTGCATTATCTCATACTGATTTTATTCCAATATCTAATCGATTCTACAGCTTTATATAAATGAAGGAAATAATTTATGTGAGTAACTTGATATGATTATGAGCAATAATTTGTGCTCGAAACGTCATCGGTTAACATAGCTGTACAACACTGTGTGTGATTTCTCAAAATAAAATCTTTTCCATAATGGAGTTAACTGATGACGTTTTGAGCACAAACTATTGTTCATAATCATATTAAGTCACATACACAACTTATTTCCTTCACTTATATACATGTGTGGAATCGATTAGATATTGGAATAAAATTCATTATAGGATAATGTACATTCAGAATTAATAATATGAGTGTTATTTATCAATTACAATCAGATGGGAAAAAAGATGTCTATGGACAAATGACCTTCAAATAAACTGACTTCAATGTATGTAGAAAATTTCTGACTATATTTTTTGATGATTAATGAAATCCGAATAAATCTGCTGAAGAAGCTGTGGCCTACACAGCGAAACGTCCAGAAAAATCTTGTTTTATTTTTTTCTTGAACACGCTGGGATTAATTTAAATAATTTATGAATCAATCTGACTCGGCGCTCAAATTATTCCAGGAAGTTCGTAACACCTATAGTCTGGAAACTTATAATCTTATATCATTATTATACAATTGGTGGATGGTGGCTAGCAGTGAAATCCAGGATGCGCATTCCGTCCTATTTGGGACTCGTTATCTGGATGTACCTGCATTTCTCAGTGAGTGATGATGTTCCCACCGAGGCTCGAACCCAGTGCCCATAGTTTCAAACGCCAAAGCGTTATCCACTAGACCACTTCGGGAAAATCAAAAAATCAATTCAATAATTACATCATTATTGCCTAAGAAAACAATTTTCGGATGCAATAATCATAACAAAGAGCGCTATTTGGATGTTTTTATCTCGTTGTAGCACTTTGGATACTATAAGCGTATATCTGAAGCATTAAACTTATTTGAGCGAACATGGGAATTAACGCTATCTATAGTCGAATTTTGTTGAAAGTGAGTACCTGGTGGGAAAGTTAAGTGAGTAAAATTAAGTCTAGCACATTTACTGATAATCATCGTCGCCTAGGACCTAGCACAAGACTTTAAAACCTACGTGAACCGCAAAAAGACTGGTTGATATTACAAATGACAATCAATTAATAACACAGTACAATAAGTTAATTTAAATACAGATACGGAGTAGTTTAAATTCCCTAGACTAAAAGTGCATTTCTCACATGACCGTATTTCACTACACTGTGTAATATTATCACAGAGATTAAAATACAGTTTACTGTAATTAATCCAGATGTTCCCAGAATTATACCTAACATTTGTCGCATATTTTGTCTATACACCATAGAAATTCATTCATTGAAGTGAGATCAAATTTTACCTTAACATCCGTAGAAGTCCCGTTGAAGGTTGATTCAACTGTTGTATTTGTAAGGGAAGAACACCATGTTCCAATGAAGCAGAATTTGAACTCACTGACTGGGCTGCTGGGATGCACACTGGATTGACTACAGTGGCAGTATTGGCAGATGTACTTAAGATCTCTGGCTCACAAACTGCTTGACGGAGAGGAACACTGGCTGAGGTATCAGTGTGCGTCGAATGACTTAGACAATCATCCAATATCTGCTCCAGGTGACAGTCATATTGATGATATTCCGCAACATCTTCACCAACAACTTTTTCTGTATTAAGCCAACACAATTCGGGGAACGACGCTTGAAATCCCAAAAAACCACCTGCACAAGGAGTGAGTACATGAAAAAAACCAGGAAGTACATAAGCCTTTCCTTAAATTTACGAGGATTACCACTAGCAAACTAAAAACTAATTAAAGGACACAATACAATACTATGATTAAGTAATGAATCACAAGCTATACAGTATTAAGACGACACGAAATTAAGCGGCTATGAATGTGAGGCCGCATAATTTCCCCATCAAATACATTTATAAATGCAGTGACAGTAACAAACATTGCACTCAATACCTATCTACCCCGATGCTCCATGAGGACGAATGATTGAAACCTCCATGACAGTAAGTATCTACCAAGTGTAATCAACTGTGTAGACAAGAGCTATTCAAGTTATAAATCCACACATGGTATTTAACCACTCTCACTTAAACTTGCATAGCTTTTTACATGACTTCTTTCAAGTTTTTTCATACCATATACATACATGAAATTCATCGGCGAATAAATTGAATTCGCACGAAGTTTTTGACGGTAAAACCATCACGTCCCCAGCTCGATCAGGAAACTAAATCCCTATTTGAGGAAGAACTAGCTAAACACATATCTGAGTTCGACAGCTGTGCTCACCCTGAAGAAGCTTGGAAGAATATTCAGTCACCATAGATACAGTTGTAAAAGCTGTGAATAAGGTAAACCCACAGGTGGGTAAAAACCATTGGATCTCTACCGCCTCATCCGAACTAAGTGATGCTAGAAGACTTATTCCGGCGAGCTTCGAATTCAACGAGGAGCGAAAGCTACACAAAAGGAAACTTACGAAAAGTCTCCACAAGGACCGTGAACAGTGTTGGGTGACCGAGTCGAAAGAGATGGAAAAGCATCGGCGATATGCAACACTAGGCAACCCTTTAGACTCATCAGGGAAACGGGTGGGAGAAGGCAAATCACAAGTGAGACTATTTTTGAGAAAAATGGCTCCTTAATTACCTCTCAGAATAGTCGCCTTGAACGCTGGAAAGAACATTTTGAGGAACAGTTCAACTTGCCTACAGCCACACTGAACCTCCCGCCATCCAGCAAAAACCCGAATGAGATGTGGACACAGGTCCTCTTTTCCTAACGGAGGTTTCTAAAGCTGTCACCAATCTGAAACTAGGCAAAACAGCGTGACCTGATGGAATGACTCCAGAGGTATTTAAATACGGTGGAGACAGTTTACTGTCTGCGTTAACTAAGGTATTAGGAGGCGTCTGGGAATCAGAAGAAGTCCCATCGGGCTGGACTCAGTCATTGATTATCCCCATATACAAGAAGGGAAGCAAGTCTTTCTGTGATAATCACAGGGGGATTAGCTTGACTAGTATAGTATCTAAAGTTCTACGCTCAGTAATCAATCATGCGTAGACTAAGTGGTGCTCGAGAGGCACAAACACAAGACAACCAGGCATGATTTAGACCAGGAAGAGGGTGTATTGATCATATCTTCACCGTCCGACAGATTCTAGAACATAGGCATTCTTACCGACGCCCAACAATCACTATATTCCTTGACCTAAAGGCGGAATTCGATTCCATCGACCGAGAGGTTCTCTGGCGATGCTTGGCTGTATAGGGAATGCCGAGAAAATACATTTCACTGATTAAGGCACTCTACTCGTACTCATACAGCCAGGTGAGGGCTTACGGCAAGTTGTCATCTGAACTGGTGACGACTAGTGGTGTCCGTCAAGGATGCCCATTATCCCCTCTTCTATTCAACTTCATCATAGATGTACTAATGGACTTAACCCTAAGTGACTTCAGCGACTCAGGGATTGACTTGCTACCATCAGGGAATAATCTCGTTGACTTAGAATATGCAGACGATATAGTCCTCCTAGGCGAAGACGCTGACAAAATGCAGAGTCTTCTGAACGCCTTGAGTCGCAATCTGCTAATGTTTGGGATGCGACTTACTCCCGTCAAATGTAAGATGATGTTACAGGACTGGAATCCACTGAATCCTAGCTTGGTAATAGGGAGTGAAGCGGTAGAGCGTGTTGACCACTTCGCTTATACGGGGAGTCGCATCAGTTCTAATGGGTTGACCACTGACGAAATCTCAGCACGGATACAGAAATCCTGTTTCGCATATGCCAACTTGCGCCATCTCTGGCGTAGACGAGATATTCGACTATCGACCAAAGGGCGGATGTACTGCTCATCAGCCCGTTGCATCCTCCTTTATGGCTGGCTGTGAGACCTGGCCACTGAGAGTGGAAGACATAAAAGAACTAGCTGTCTTTGATCATAGGTGCCTGCGCTCTATTTCCCGTGTAAAGTGGCATAATAAGGTGAGCAATATTGAGGTTAGGCGTCGAGTACTAGGTAGACAGGGGAAATCAATCGACGAAGTTATGAAGTTACAAAGACTGAGATGGTTGGGACATGTGTTACGTATGCCTAGTCATCGCCTTCCTCGACGAGCAATGTTAGCGGATACAGGGTCAGGCTGGAAAAGAGCTAGTGGAGGTCAAACAAAAACATGGCACCAGTCAATGAAATCTGCAACAGTTAGTCTAAGCCATGTAGGAAGGTGTAGACTTCCAGGTTGGGGTCCTCGGGACGGCAAAAACAAATGGTTGGAAACAATTGGTGACATGGCTCAAAGTCGTTCTCAGTGGCGCAGATGCATCCACTCCCTGTGACTTATGACTTCCAATGAGACTGCATTGTTCTTCGTTACTACTATTCCTTTGTCTCACACCTCTGTTTACTGTCTTTATTATGCCTTTCTTGTACTTTCTTCTCTTACTTTGTGTGCTACACGGAGTGTGGCGACTTGAACTTCTGCACATATGTGCAAAGTTCTATGTCGAAAACAGACAGACAGACAGAGACAGCATGAACTCTTACAGAAGACTCGAGAAAGCTAACGTTATAAATACGCGATGGACGCATTTAAGTTTTACTATCACGTGAGAAGTGTTAGTTCGGCAATGTAAACAAATAAACAACGACTTAGCATTACAAACTGACTCATCAGTCTGGTAAAATAATCACGCATACCGATTATTTTCAATGATAAGAATGAATTCATTTATTTACTAAATGATTTATTCGGTTATAAAAAGCACTCTAATTTGGCCGAAACACCCTTGCATCATGAATCATTGGTGACAGAAGGTCAAATACAATAACTAGTCACGCCGCTAAAAATCTATTTCCCGCAATGAATTAATATGCTAAGGAGTATAATAAGTTTGTGATTATTGTGATAAATAGTCTTTCATAAAGGAGTTAGTGCTCCAGTGCTTCTAGAGTATTAATCAGTTAAAAAAGTGGTGAGAGAAGTATACACATCCCTTGAGACTGATTTTTACCCAGTGAACGGTGTTCTTAAAACGTATTAAAAAGTAGGAAAACGACGTTGAAACTAAAGGACAAGAATAATGATACAATTAATTATAATTGTGTATCAGAAAGTCTTGAACTATTTGTACTGCTCAGAAAACAGCATAATGAAAACCTGTATTACATCATGACTTTAATTACTGAATTTCGTAAGAGTTATCAGCTTGATATTCTAATTAGACGTGACTATAATTTCACACCAACTGGAGTATTGTGGTAAAGTATAATTACATGGTAAACCTCAGAGGTTACTTAAAATAATTGCGGCTCTTTCAACCTGACTTTTACATGATGCTGGATTACTTATTACTCCTGTCAATACTAATGAAAAATCTCAGACTACATCAGCTTCACAATGGTCTTTAAAACAGTTATGCATTGTTATTTGGTAACTCCGGGTGATGTGTTGATCAAATGTCAAAAATGGTATTTCAGAAGACAATATTGAGACAGAAATAGTATCGAAACAAAACAGAATGCAGAGAAATGTTCGTCTATCATACTGACATATGCACCAAATGAATACAGGAAAATATCAAATTTTTGGAAACACAATTCTGAAAAATAAGACAAATATGTATATACTGTAAGCAATCCTTTTGAAATAAGGCAATCGCAATTGTGAAATGGACAAAAAACAATTATTTGCATGCAACAATAAGCTTTGATACACCATACCCCTATCAAAAGTGATTCTTGTACAAGAACTACAGATGAAATAGTTCTAGTACATGTAACAGAAACGCTACGTTAGAATCACAAGAGTTACGCATGAATTCCAGTTTCTACCATTAGTGCATACAGTCATGTATTGGAGAGATAGGTCAATGTAAACACTTGATCCAATTCAAGTTACTACACTTTGAAAAAGCACAGAAAATTATACCAAGATACGTTCTTAATCTGTTGCAGAAGTACTGGTGAAGAATGTGAAAACATGTTGATTTCAACAGTTTTATCTGAGTTGATCAAGGCAGGGAAAGTGATCAAAGCAGACTTTGAGCATGAGGAGTGAAAATGAATAAGCCTTCCCAAATACTACAAATATATGATGAATGACGAAGAACAAAGAAGTTATAAGGGCATTAGTATATAATAATACCTCCATTTATGTTCACAGAGAAAACTAAAAACGCTGTGGTAAGTGAAATTATCCTCAAGATGGGTGGAATTACAGTTCGAATGGCGTAAACCTACACTATAGCCGCTTACCGCCTTTAAACCCTAATCGAGGATGAGGACAATATAATATTAACTAGATTAACTAAGGTGCTAATTAGTGTAAAAATGGATTAGGACTTTTTTGCACTAGATTACAACATACATTGTATGAGGGATGCTGATACTACCTACTTTCCCAGACTAAAATGGGTGGAGTGGGGCTAGAACCCGAAACCTATTGGCTGAAGGTCAAGTGCTTAAGTCAGTGAGTCAAATCAATTGATTGGTGTGACCTGAGAACTTATTCAGCTTATAGTATTTTTAAACTCTGAACTCAATTAAGCAAATCACAGCGACTACATTAGATTTTGCTCACAGACCCACATAATAACTTAGCACTGATGCATTTAGTTTTAATTAACTGATCAACAACTGCTTCATTTAAGGATAAAAAAAACCATTACTCCACATTCAAGCATCATTTAC